CATAGAGATACAGATAGAGTATTTAAAGAGAAGAAGAAAGGAACAAAAATAAAAAATTAATCAAGACTGTCTATCTTGTTTTAATTCTCAAAAAGCTATTTAAGACCTCAATTCTGGATATATCTTATTATTACACCATCTCATATACTCGTATAATATAATAGTAATAAAGGGTTCCTTTCAAGCAATTTTGACCTTTATTTACAAATATAAACTTTTCTTTAGTTTTGTTAAATACTATTGGGCCTTAAAAAAAAACATATGATCTTATGTACATAAGTATGCATAAGAAGAATATAAGAATATACTTTTGATCAATGGAAAGTTAAATTCGATCTATGTTAATGTTAAATAATTTAATATGCTATAAACTGAGTAAATTATATTTACAATAATACGTATTAGCTACGATCGGTATGCTCTTGATCAAAGCACATAACTATTTCCTCCACGATGCACATAAGTATTTTCGTTAAGATCCCAAAAACTACAGTTATCTAAGTTTAAATTGCAAAACTTTGTACAGGACTATTTTGTGGCTTGCCTGCTAGTAGTATATTGCTAGTATTCTACATATTCAATGTATATAATATTTTTGTAGTGACGGATAAGGAATACAGAATGTCACTACCCCAATTCATCCCGTAAAACCTAACTAAGGGCGAAAAACAACGCAGGACACCAGCACTGCAAAAAGAAGGAAAACTTGACATAAACCCTATACCAACCCGTCTGGCCAGCGTGGCATAGTAGGCCAAAACCTCTTTTGTAAGGAGAGGCCTATGTTCAACAGTGGACTATTAAAGGCTGTTGATGTGATGATGTGAATATTTGTCATATTCCTTCGTGTAAGTGAACTGACGTTTGATATATACACTTATTACATGATCTGATAAGGAGGCAAAGCAGGAATTATTTTCCAATATTAGAAATATAAGTAGTAACCAAGGTTTTTTACTGAGGTCCAGGTTTGAACGAGAAAAATACTAGCCAGGCGCGTCCTGCCAACAGTAAGTAATGTTTTATAATTCGTATGTAATACGCGGAGAATATGGCCATGCACTTACATCTGCTGTTCGAACGTAGTAGTTATAAATAAGTTGGCATGTTTACAGTAATACATACAGGTTGTCATTCCAACTTGGCTTAACTTACAATTTACGAGCCGACTCTCCTGATTTTACATTTGATGGTGGGTTATGAGCAGGATAAGATTTATTAGCAGTTATTATTATTAGAATATTATTTTGCGTTACTAAATAGGTTTTAATATCAAGATACTTCTTAATTTACGCGCTGATGTATGTATTGTTGCGACAAATACAAAGACAATAATTAAATTTATGACAACTTAGGGTTACGCTAGATAACTATTCGCAACTGGAGCGGGCCGGCGCTAGGAGGGGTCCGGATGTCTTAATAACAGCTGTTCCCGGATCCCTCCTATTACAGGCGGAGAGTGGCACACCGTGTGGTTTTAGTCGGTCCGAGTCCGACACACCACCCCGCCGCAAACCCCGGTGGGGTGACGGTCCGAGGGGATATCCACACGTTAAAAAAAAAAAAAAAAAAAGATAACTATTCTTGAACATAAGTACTTTGTACTATCTGATTTTATATTTTCTAATTAAGGGATATATATATTTACTCAAACCGAGATCAAAGTTTTGTATATTATTTGATCACTAATTTGAGTGAACTTCGGGCGTAAATTCAAACTATACCCAACTAATCCCAATTGGATTAATTAGGTATAGTTTGATAACTATTTCTAATTAAAATGTGAAACTGAGTTTGTTCATTTATTCGTTTTTTGTTTATTACGCTTTCACGGTTTATTTGCAAAAATATTGTTAGAGTACTGCGAGATAAAGATAAAGGGGCCTTGCATTAAAAACTGTTTCATAAAAGATCAGGATAAAATCATCCATTGACCTAAATTTATAATAACGCGAGTGAAGCCACGGACAAAATAATATACTCATAAAATAAACTAAGTCTGATTGATCTATTATTCAATAGTTTGAATTTTTTTATTTAAAAGTTATTTTAATTAAAACCTACACAACTTTATTATCTTTCTCTTTCGTTTTATCTCAAAATGTTATTTTAATGTGTATGCGAACCATGCTGTAAATGGAGCTAGCATAATATCAAACATAACAATGTGCTTTTCCTTGCTTGAGTCTTGCGTCCTAAGGTTTTTAAAGGCTGTCTCTGCTAATTAATAAAGAACGTTGAAATTAAGGGATATTGTATCTTTACTCGTATTACATAGTATAAAATGACCAGTTGAGACAGTGATTTACAAAACGGATTTAAATATATAATACATACATATTGATTTGTAATGTGATATCGTAAAAAACATCTTTTTGTGCGCTTATATCACAAACGCTGGCTAAGCAAAGGTAAAATAGATCAAAATAATGTACTACGAAATGTATTTCTTAAAAAGATCTACAAAAAACGCCGCGATGTCGATACCGATACCGAACGATATGTTATATATGTACTATAGATAAGATAGTCTTCATTTTTATGTTTTACATACAAAATGTTATGGGGAATTTATACTTAAGGCATACTGAAAGTTTCTGGCTTCTGATAAAAAGACTAGATATAAGACTTACGATACATTTATTGTTTTTCTAAGTATATTTCCTCGCAATTAATTCATTTTTTTATTTCCTGAAACCACTATACAAAGTAGTTGCTCCAGTCTTCCTTAGGGACCTCTTCGATGGCTTCATGAAACGCATTCACCGCCTATTTAGGGCTCATGAAAGGTTTGTTTTTAATTTTTGGAAACAAAAAAAAGTCGTAGGGTGCGAGGTCCAGGCTGTTATGCAGATGTGTCATTAGTTCCAAATTTGAAACCTTCAAATAGGCTTATATTGCCTTAGCGAAATTTGAGGATGCGTTATCGTGGTGAACATTGCTTCGAGGACGCTTTTTGCGAACTTGGCAAGTAAGTATTGACGTACCAATCTGCAGTCACTGTCCTTTAATCTTCAAGCGATACTGTAGTGTATTGTCCTGATTTACCGAAAAAAGAAGCAACCTTTTTTTTACCAATGCTTCGACTTTTCTTAACTTTCGTCGTAAAATCTTCAATAGGAAAGACCCACTCTGCCGACTGGCTTTTTTTGGGTTCAAAGGAGTACACCCAGGTTTCGTCACCTGTTACGATATTAAAGACCGCCAATGACTGTCCTCCGTTAAACCTTTTATCATTTTACAGCACCACTGGACACGTAGTCGTTTCTGGTCGTCCGTTAAGTCATGCGGTATCCATTGAGTGCAAAGCTCAGCTTAACAATGCCTGTAGCATTAAGTCAATATACAATTAATTTGTAATTTGTGCATAAAGAATTAAATAAATAAATAATTTACGAAGCTATTTTAAACAATAAAGTATTATTCTTTATAAAAAAGGGTTAGATACGTTGTGCATTTAATAAAGCTGAAAACTGCCTTCCACAGCAAATCATTAAAATACATATCTTAGTAGATAGAGATTTAAGATAGTCGGGTGGCAGCGGCCGGCAGTAGCGGAGCGGACCTATATTTATAGTCCTGTGGTATAGTCTTTTCATAATAATACGAGTAGTACGAGTATATATATAATTAATTACACCGCATTGGTAGTATCTACATTGCACCCGTGCGAAGCCGGGGCGAATCACTAGCATTATATATCTTACATGTTTAAACTAGACAAATCTTATTGGATAATATATTATTTTCTAAACTACCTTATTATCATATTAGCTAATTTTCGCCATCTTGGTTAAACCCATTACAGCCCTCAACTTCATTATTCTAGGTCGTTCGTACTGTTACTCTCTCGGTTCAAAATATATGTATTCATTTTTTGATCTAACATGCAGTAGTAATATACTAATCTAAAACTATCGAAAACCTGTGATATAATAACACAAATGCCAGCTTCTGAATGTAAAAAAAGATTAGCAATAGTACACTACATTTTTAATTTAATGCTCAATTTTATTTAGAGTTAATGACTAACGGCCTTTATCTATGAATTAATTAGGAAACTAAGTGGTGACTTGTAGATGGTTATTTCTTTTAACCAGTGTTTGTAAATGTTGTTACATGCATCCTCGTTATAGACATTCCTGTTCCTTAATTAATGAGATCGTTATTGCAACTGACCAGTGGATGTGTAATTTAATTGCATTATATACATAGCTACGTTTAGAATTTAAATGTAAGGCTCTTGTAATAAATAAATTAAGTACAAATAGTACAAATATAAGCCGTGAATATAATAGAAAATATTGATAGAAAAAAAACGGTTGATTGCTATTTTTTATACTTGTTGAAAAAACCTACAAGCTCTTCGGACCACAGCGAAGTTGATGTGAGAAATAAAAAGTATCAATGCTTTGGAATAAGCTTCTTTTTTTTGTTGACGGGGTGGAAAATCTCTTCGGAACTCCGTCTCCTTGCGGATGTAGGAACCAGAAGTATGTGATATTTCAACTAAAAACCACCCCGACAGTCAGACTCAGGCGCCCTACTCCTAGGAGGACCCGGACCATGTTATTTCAGGTCCTGCCGCGCCTCCGGCCGTATCGGCTTCCCCCGCCTATCGGCCCAATCCTTATAATATGCTGCAGCCCGATCGCATTTTATCGCGACCAGGCCACGATAATCTGCCACCAGAGGTCCCCTCTCTATGGCAGCCTGCAGCAGGGTGGCAGTCAATACGTACTTGATATACGTTTCTACTCGTCAGTTTCTGCTTGGCAACGGCAGGACGATTTACATTACTTTCAAGTCACCGCATATTTATCTTCTTCTGTGCTTTTGTGTCCGGACACTTCTATGTTTTTCTTAAATTTTAGCATACAGCTATATTGTAGACCAATTTATTAAATTATTTATTTGATCTACGTAACATTTTAATAATACAAATAAAGTTTAAATGCATCTTTAAAAAAGTAATTTCAAACTTCTTTCTCTTGTTTCAGCATCGTCACAAGCACCACCAGGCTTTAACTTGCCAACACTAACGCACGTGGACAGAAACTGGTACGTCACGTCCTCGGATCCTATTGGTTCATTCGTGACCAAAGTGTATCGAGACAGTACTGGCAGTGATCCCGTTATCTTCGGTTTGGAGACTACGGGACCACCGGTGCCGTTCCAGATTGACCCCCACACTGGGGTCGTCACTGTGAATGATACGTTGATTGATAAGGTAGAGATTAAGCTTATTTTTTTAATATTCTGTTTTAAATAGGATAACTTGTACAGAAAATGATTATTTGCAACATCTTAATCTGATTGTTTCTAGAGGATTAGAGCACAGAGGACACTTGTAATGAAAGCGCTACTAATCTTCTTAGTCAATTTTTCCTACTAACTTGTTTCTAATCTCTTGTTAGGGATTTCACATACTTGATTGGGATTAAAAATGTAAAATTTCTTATCACGTCAAAATCATATTGCAGATTATACATTTATCTGAAGGCTGTTGACACGTCTATTTTATATTCTAAAAATCACTGTTACTAAAAAAAAACATAAACTTATTAGTAAAGAGTATATTCCTAGCTAATTCTAGTAGAATATTCTACTGATCATGACTATATTACGTGGATTCAAATATGACTCGTTAATTCGCCGTTTAGTAACCACGGGCCCTACGAGTATTTATGCGTACGTTATAATATTATAAACTCCTGTTAAATGATGAATGATGTTTATTTCTGCAAGTAAATCTTTTAAGATATTTTTACAAGTCGGACTTTACAGCTAGAAGGCGCCGGCATTTCCTAAGACTCGCTCTGGAAAGAAAAGCCGAAACAAACGACAGAGGTGTCTTTTTTTTTATAGTCCGTGTATAATGTTAAAGAGAACTATGTAAGTGCAGTATAGGGTCTAAGTTGGCCTTTTGAAGAAAGGACCATAGTTTTGAGTCGGTCCGTCCCTATGGACGCCTGTGTAACCTAACCGATATAGTCAGGATCAACAACCCGGTACACGACGCTACCATCAGCAGGACACTTGAGTTGGAAACACTCAAAACCACATGAAAGTTACTAATATATGAACTAACATTACAAGTCTACAATATACTCACATTTACATACAATTTAATATTTGACTGTACTAAACAAATTTACAAGTGTAATTTTAATACAAGGCACTACATACGTACGTACAAAGGCACTAGCAATTTTAGAAATCTCATGTCAGTATTGTTCGGGAGTCAGCCACCCCTCGTTCCCTATGGAGCTATGACCATTTTTTTATAATTTACTTAACCTAGAGAATTGAAACAATAAGCCTATTACTGATATCCACGTTTAGTTCACTACATAGTTATAGTACTTGAAACACATTAAGCGGTATTTATTACAACAGAACAGGTGTAGGTATTAAATTTAAAAAAAAACATCAGAACAACAAAAAATAAAAATAAGGAATAAATCTAAGAGCAGACGTTATTGCTAACTCTGTGTCTCGCTAGAGCGGCGCTTGTAATAAATTAGTCAGTGAAATTTTCCTGTGGCCGCTTTGGCATTGCTTGCTTGCGGAGTTCTGTCTATAACTGGCAGAATATTGAGGGACATTTAAGGGTTGCATATGTCTTAGAAGTTTCGGTGGTGAATTGAGATTTAGTTTATTTAAAAGTTATAGATTGTAATGGCATTAGATGTTTTAATATGTAGGAGATATCTGTAATATCTCTTCTGTCAGATAGAGGCAGCAAATTAATTGGTTTTCACAAGTTTGTTTAGTTAGAGGACGTGAAGGGAATTTTTAATCTAAAACATATATATTTTATGACCATCACTAGGTAATACCAAATGATGTACTTATAAGATATTTATAGCAGAAATATTATCCTTAACATTTCTAGGGAACAAAAGGTACCATTGTTTTCCGTGTTTGGTCTTATTATGTCAATAAGTTCATGAGTTAATACAGTGCTTTCTAAGTTATTATTTTACAATAATGCAAACCATTATATTTAATTTTCAATAAATTAACAAACCGCGTACTTGGTCCTATGGAATATTAAGTAGGAATACCATTCTTCCCACATAAATAGACTTTCAAAGTGTATTTACACAATATCAAAGAGTTGCAATTCCTATGTCATGAAAGAAGGCTTTTCTAGGGTGGATTTTTGATCAATGTATAGATACTCAAGGTCATGGCAGCCACATTTTAAAAGCCTTAAATATTAAAATAAATATATCCTCTTATTTCCGGTCTTATAAGTATAAACGCACTTTTGCCAATCAATCAAAATATTTGAACGCAATCGAGATTTGTATCATGTTATTATAATTCAAACAGTTTATAACTAATCTGTAATACTAAATGAAATGAAAAAGGAATGCTATCTTTGATAGATACATAAATCAAACTAGATTGCTAATAAACATAGCCAATTTTTAACGACATGTAATGTTCCTCTTAAGGCTTGGATAAATTAAAATTCTACTCCATAAATGAATGAGATTGATTGGCTTCAACCAATATCAAATTTTGCAAATATCGTTAAGGTGTAGCTTTTATATCGGTTGTAAATTATGATTTTGATAGAAATGATTATTCCGACACATTTAATTATAAATGTAAGCTTTTCCTGTGATTACACATAAATACAGTCACAAAACTGGAATAAATAATATAAATTTCTTAAGTTTATACTTACGTCACAAGTTTATGTTGTACTAAGAATAAATGTAAATTTACTAGATATATTATAGGCATATATTTGAATTCTATATGTAGATTTATTGACCAGTGTTTTTTTTTTTAATTTATTTTTAAGTTCTACAGTGCAAGAAAAGTGTCGTATTAATAAAATAAAACATTTTAGAAAGTTAGCGATTATCTCAACGCTAGAAAACCGTAGTAAAAGTAAATCTCAGCTCTCAACATAATATTTAAAGAAAACACAAATATTTGAAGGCCACACTAAACAAGCAAAAAGTACCAGTGTGTTAAAGACTTTAAATACCACCAAAAAGCTATCAAGTAAATTTCCAATTTTAACGGATCGTTAATTTAACAAATTAAACGTTTGGAGTATTTAGAATTTCTGCTTGAGGTCAGGTCAATAAATATTGAAGCTGTGGGAATGATTACGACTGTTTCTACTCGGTGTTTTCGTTTTTCCTTTTGTCAGTTACCATTTTGGTGTTTCCACTTCAAGTTTCATTAATTTAGGTTATTGATGTTTATTTCGAAACTCATCTACCTCCTGTAATGTATTTTTTATTACTGTGATTACAACTACGATTACCAAATAAAATAAATTTCATTATAGATAAAGTAACAAGATTTTCGTTAGCCCTAGCAAAGAAAAGGTGACTACTATAACACTGAGGGAGAGAGGGAAACGTTAACGAAAAAATATTATACATATTTATTTACGAATACATGTCAGTAATAGTCAGTAACAACTTACTGGAAGGCGTGAGAACTTATCTCGGTATAAGTGGTTTGTTACATTATGAATCTTTATCCATACTTATATTAAAAATGTGAAAGTGAGTTTATTTGTTACGTTTTCACGCCTAAACCACTAAACTGATTTTAAAAATTCTTTCAACAAAGGAAAGCTACATTGTCAGCAAGTTACTAAGGCTACTTTTACTGAGATAACCGACATACGCATTAATAGTAACACAAATAAATCTTATTCATAACAAAGTTTCATTACTACTAGAATTCGTCTGTTACGAAAAAAATACATTAAATAATCAAGGATATATATGTACGTATAACGGACCACACAGACATCTGTGTTCGTTTGTACTACGAGTGTAATCATCGCAATGCAATTGTATTGAAATTTGTTTTGTCGTCATTGATTAATTCATTATATACTCATAATACAAAACGTTAATGTATATGTCGCATATTATGTCTTCGTTTTAAATATAAAATTAAGTTTTAAATATAAATCCGTGGCAGAGCTATGCTTCGGCAAACACGGCCATACAGAAACCAGTGTTTAGCAATTATTTCATGGTCTTCCACTGAATGAGAGAGGTTACCGAAGCTCAAACCCCAGATTCTGGTGCCCCCCCTCCCCCCACCAGAATCTTTACAGTTACTCTTGAGCTGCAGGTATTTATGGACGGCGGTAGTCATGCTCGTTTACCCTATACCATATAAAATAGAGTAATAGATCACTTAAGTACATTGTAAGAGCCAGTTCTATTTCTTATCATTTAATGGTGACCTATAATGAAGCTTTTACATGAATCTAACTTCATTGATAACAAAAGTAAAATTTTCACAGCAAAAATTAATAAAGAGAATCATGCCAAAAAGTAATCACCGACTCCCTCTGGCCTCATAACTAAAGTATAAATATAAGTGACTACAAAGGTATCAGGTCAGATTATGAAAGACTTGTAAACATTTCAGATTTTGGATAGGATTATTGTATACCGATGCGATGTGGCAGAACCACAATATATAAAATCATAACATTATATTACATTGTAACTATGATATATGTGTGTCTGAAAATTCAGTCTCACCATTTGGGTATCCACAAAACAGCGCAGTTTCTCACAGGACTCAATAATAGCTTGAATGATGAAATAACTGCTCGTCACGATGACTTAAATTATACGCGTGTTTTAAAATCGTTGTGCAATCATTTCGCCTATTCCTTTACTGACAGCCAATTGTAGCTGTATATACCAATCCAATATAAGACCACCACCTTTACAAGAGCAATTCCTTGTCCCTTTTTTACCATGAAGAGGCTACTTCTATTTTTAATCTACACCGTTGTAATAAAGGCTAAAATGAAAATGACCAACTTCCTTTAATATCTTTATATTAGTTACTGTTAATATATATACTGACAATTTATATTGCCGGCAGAGGCGAGTGGCTAACAGTATTACCATAGCATTACTATATGTTTATGTATGTGTATTTATGATATCTAGTGTTGTATGTTTGTATATGTTTATGTATGTAGTGAACAGTATATATTTTCGGCGAACACTTGATATTATGACGTAACCTCTGTGCACCTACCTTACAAGATTTCTATGCCACCAAAGGACTGGAAGAGAATGCCCTAGGCATTAAGTCCGCCGATGTCCAAAAGTGCATAAAGTTAAATAAATATTACTCCCAGGATTTGTTACATCAATTCGTATTGTCCCATTAATTATATTTATTATATTTTCAGGAGAAAAAGTCATATTCACTATGGGTGACAGCGTACGACGGCTCCATACCCCAAAAGACCGAAGTCTATGCAACCATCACGGACAAATCAGGCCAGAGACCTAAACTACCTCACCCGCCACCTATAAGATTTCCGGGGTACCAGCACGAACCTTTCCAGCCAAACTTTACAAGAACCACTCAAAGCACAACCAAAGAAATATATCAACAAGCAATTGATACAATCGTACCTGAAACATCGACAACAATTCCTACGTTAAGTCCTCCAAAAACTCCTGATGATATTCCCAAAGTTGATAAAGATATTGAAAGTAATGATAAAAACAAAAGCTCGGTGCCTCGTGAAGAAACTCTGACAAATGAAGTGCCTTTGACAGTAATACCTCTAGTCGCTATTGGTGGTTTGGTTGTTATTGTGGCCGGGGTGGTACTATTTATCTGTAAGAAGAACAATACACAAAAGAAGGATAGCAAAAAGGATGACATGGTATGTAAAATAAAATTCGTATGACATTTCATCACATAAACATAAATTCATCCTAAGCTCTAACATAAACGGCAACTTAAGGTTTTGTTTTTAATGCAGGTTGTATAAATATTGTGAGTAAGAACTAAATGACGTTATATATAAATTACAAAAAAGTACGTACGTTACGTATCCATAATTAAATAAAAAATTCACAAAAGACATATTAAAAAAGTAGTAGGTAGTAGTAATAAAATAAATATAAATACAATCAGCAAATTGCAATGTATTTTCAATTCATCTCAAAATGAAAGCTACTTTAAACATCTCCCTTTGTTTCAAAATGTAATGAAGTTTGTTATTTTATGCGACTTTATAAATAAATACAGTGATAAGTATTTTCTGTCTTAATTTGTCAACTTCTAAACATAGTTAATATTTGTAAAAAAATAATGTAATCTTATTGGCATTATTCTCAATAAATATCATTACATCTTTTTAATAGTAATACCAATTTCAAAAGGCTCTAACAGTATCATAGAATCACAAAACTTTCATTTACTCCTACATTTATTCACCAATAATATCATGGTTTCAATGTAACATATTCATAAAATACATCATTTCATTGGTTCCAAAGATTCATAGATTTCATTCATCTAATCCCTATTGTTCACAGAGCAAAGACTCAAGTGGTATCGTTCTAGAAGATGCTTCTTTCAACATGTGGAATCACCCAAGAGCGGACTCCAACAGATACGAATCTTGGGATAATAATCATTTACAGGTCAGTCTTGACCTATTTCTTTTAATCAAACCAAAATTCTCATCTTGCATAATCTTTTATTCAATACTTTTCTTATTAACTAATAAAAAAATCGCTAAATAAGTTAAAAAATAATAATACTGTGACATGTCAAACTAGTGAAAATTTAAATTAATGTTTTATGGCTTGTTTGTACATTTATTATTTTTATTGCTTAGTTAAATTTGCCCACAATAATGTATTAGATTGTAGACCTACACAATACAACTAAATCCTTAAGTTGCCACAAACAGAGTTATTTTAATAAGAATTCATGGAAAGTGAATATTTTGTTAGAATAGTTTAGTAATTTTCAAATTAGTTTAGAAGAAAGAAAGTAAGATAAGTAAATCCCTTTTAAGAATTTGGGCCAGAATAGACGCGTGTTTAAAATAATTTCTTTTTCATTCTGTTAAAGTACGAATACCGAAAATATTTCAATAAGTTTTAATTCAGTTAGAAGAAGATACTTATTTCAAAAGTAATTAAACTAAATTATAAGTAAAGTGATTTTATTAAACTATTTGCCTATATTTAATTACATTAATTTCACTACAGATTATGAATAATAAATTTAGAATCAAAATTCGTTTATTTTATGAAAGAAAATTGTCTTTAAATTTTGAAATCTTTTATAGATAAATAAAACGTTAATATTAGAAATTATATAGTTCCTTCTTATTTTTAAATCAATTTTTATATTTTAGCTATCAGAAGAAACATCAATATCAAAAGATGACAATCCTCCTGACAAATGGGAGTTCCCTCGACATAGACTCAAGATATTTCATATAGTCGGAGAAGGCGCGTTTGGTCAAGTCTGGAGAGCTCAGGCCATTGACATAGCTGGTAAGTAAATTCGTGTGTAAGTTTACAAAATCCTACAATAAGACCTAGGTACCTAACCTACGAAAAGGTAAAATTGATCTTTTTTATATATCGCGTTCCGTGATGATCACTATACACATACTACGATCCCGTTTTAGATTCCCCTGTGACCTCATCCTATGCATCTCTATTAAGAGATTGTATATTTTTTCACATAAAACGAATTATTTCTAGGATTTTAAATCTATTTAGCTGCTCAATGTAATTCTGTATTTGGTGTTATGGAATATAGCATGTACTTGTCCGCATGTACTTGTATTGTTATTGACATAGTCACTTAAGATATGGTTCGTGTTGGTTCTTAGTTACAAATACATACAATCTCGCCTTTTTCTTTGTGCGGATATCACCTCGTATACACCGCACCGTACACTGGGGGTTATGCGGGATGTTCTAGTTTTATATAATATGGTTCTTAATTTTTAGTGGGTAAAAATCTCAATTCCCGAGAGGCAGTACAAAATGCCTTTGAAGAGTTTGTTGCCTCCCGCTGATTTTTACAAGAAGGGCATCAATAAACTGCCAATGCATTGGCAAAGATGCGTCGATAGCATGGGTGATTACTTCGAATAACAGAAATAAAAAAGTTTGAAAAAATAAGTACTTTCACTTATTGCATACAAAACGGCAATTTCATAGGTAAAGACCTATTATATACTTTACATAACTCTCTGAAAATCGTAACTTTAAGCGTCTTCAAAACAAAATACATATACTAACATATTTAAGTAACGCCAACTTAAGCAAGGGAAATTATTCATGCCATTTTTACTAAAAAAATACTTTGAAAAACTAGATCCAACTTTAATACAATTATATTTTGTTAATGAGAATATAGATTTTAATACAAGTTTTAGAACATTGAGAAACTTTGATTTGTAATTTTTGAGGCCTCCTGAGGTGTTTGCAGACTTCTAAGGACGATTTTTTATCGCATTTTGTAGTCGAGTTTCTCTTTCGTGTTCGAGAAGTACATAAGTAGGCGGCCGTTTCTTCTGCCTTGAGACATTGTGTTTAAAGGGGATTGTCTGTCGATTTTATGGTGGATAGCTGTTCAGGGCTAGGTGTCCCGTGAAAGTTCCTACAAATATTCGGATATCTAACCTGCTAAGGCTGACCAGTCTGCAAGTAAGTCGTGGTGAGACTTCTGTCAGCACACCTTTAGTTGTGTGCTTAACAAGTTAGGAGCTAAGTTGATTAAAGGAAATCCATATATCAGAAAACAATCTATATAAAAGCATTTTAATTTCTAAGAAAGGTTGAGGAAAGTCCCTCAGAAGTCACACAAAGTACGTCTTTCAGAATATTAATTACCATAATCTACAGTCCCTTGGGCTCTCTAAGTCCAAGCAATAAGGTTTTAGGCCTCGAATTTTAACATTCGTAATTAAATAAAAACCTCTAGAAATTATTCCTTTTCACCCAGAAAATATCTAAGACCACAAGAGAGATTTCCCAAATACAAAGTTACATTTGCAGTTGCTCAATTTATTGTATATTACTTGAGATTACCTGGCGGTCAACATGTTTTTGTCTTGATTGTTAATCAAATCAAAATTTGATTTCATTACCCAGAGTAACTTAAACTATTATTGTTTAGAGTCTTGTAATGTGTACGCAGGGGTATCGTGTAGCTCCAATACAAAGGGAGGATCGTCTAACCAAACAAATTGGTGAAGACTTGATCTAAATTCTGCTATTTTAATATTGTATCCAGAGACTGTAAATGGTCTGACGTCGAAAAAGTTTTGCACTTTTCGTAATCTACTGACTATGTAAGACCAATGATCTCCCGTTGACTTGTCACTGGTATCAATGTCGTCGAAGTATTTGTATTCTAATACTTTGGTGTTGATAACATTTTAAATTTGGAAATAAATTGTATACTTAATTTTCTAGATAATGCAATGTTGTTGATCTCACCATTGATGAGCCATTGGTACTACATCAATAGTCTACACTGTATTTATGTTAGTAGAATACCGATATTTTGATTAATATCAATGGCATCTTAATAGTGTGTCAATAGAATGATAGTGGCTTCTACGTTAACATAAAACAGCAGAATTGAGGCCCTCGGGGCCCGGGCTCCAACAAATAAATAATTTGTATAGAAGAATTAAATTTGTCCGTTGTATTACTAACATGTTTACCTGAATAATTTATGAATTGCCATAAGTTAATTACACTTAGACTCACAGGAATTCATGAAATATATTTTATTACATAATTAAGTTTCACAGAGGCCTTGAGACCTGTTTTTGTTTTTCGAGTTAATGTAATATCATACGTGTAAGTCACACCTGGTCATGTCTCATTAGTCAAGTAGCAGACACGCCAGACTGCTCTTGTCCATTACATCACGTGCTCGTAGATAATTTAAACAGTAACTTATCTAAATATTTTATTGAACATATTAAAAATAACAGACGAAGTTTAAATGACTACTGATATATTTGTTACCAGATGTACCCTGCCACGCTTCGCTGTGTTATATTGTGGTTGTTGAGATATGAAGACAAACCTGATACAGTAAATGATAAAACCATATTTGAATCGGGTTATCTATCGTGTCAAAATTAAAGCTCAATCAGCGCAGAACTTTCTTAGTTTTTGCGTACACGAACCAACTTAACATTTTATATAAATACTAGCGATCCGCTCCGGCTTCGCACGGGTGCAGTGTTGATGCTACTAATGAGGTGTCAGTGTGGGAGTGTTAATTATACTATTATTATAAGAAGACTATATCAGAGGACATCTTTATATGCAATATTTATGCTAGCTCCGCTCCTGCCGGCTACTGCCACCCGCGGTGGATGTACGGCCGACGCTCTGATATCTGCACTTTAATGACATGCTGTAAAACGCAATTTTGATCTACGTTAAATGCACAACGTGTTGTTATTGATTTGGATAAGGAATACTCGTAGTACTGTATTGTTTAAAATAGCTTCGCAAATTACATGGCCGGTAGTGATAGTGATACTTATGAATTACAATTAAAAATAAAATTAAAAATTACAATAAAAAAAATGAAAACTGTGGGTTAGGAGATAGATATACCATTAGGGACTTTGTGTAGATCTTTTTAAGATTTATAATTCTTAGTGCATTATTTTGATCTATCTCGTAAGGTTTAGCCACCGGCAGGCGGCGGCTGCTTCACATTACATAAGTTCACATTTCCTCTACTATAATACTCGTATGCATGTTTTATACATAGTAGGAAAAGCCCTCCTTTCTAAGGAGAGGCCTGTATCCAGCAGTGGACTAATGAAGGCTGTCGTTGATGATGATTATACATACGAACCCGCCTCTTGAATCACTCTCTCTACTAGTGTAAACCACATTAAAACTACGCAACGTAGTTTGAAACATAGAAGCATACAACAAAGAAAACGAGGATTCATTTTATACTATGTATAGACTAAACTAAAAGATGAATTCTGTTTCAATATATTCAACAATATTTTCTATTGCATCAGCATTTACATAAAGAATATATGTTTATTTGTTCGAATGGTTACCAAATCGCTTTTGCCACAATATTCTCATATCACTTTACAACATATGGTTGAGCCCTAAAGGATATTTTATCTCAAAGAACGATTCCAATTCGTAAATGTCTAAGGATATCTTAAGATCATAGAGAATTCGATGAAGTTTTATTTGTAACACGCTACTATTCACGCTGTATAGTGTTATAGTGGTATGTAATATTAATAATTTCATACATTTCAAACACAGCCGGCCAGGGCCTCAATTCTACTATTTTATGTTCACGCCAAGCCAGTGTCATACCACTGACATGCTATTGAGATGCCATCGAGTGGCCATTGGCATCGGTATTGGGGTTTATTTTGAGTCTACTGCGATATGGCTGAACTTCGATTTTTACGCGAAGCGACTGCTAAAAGACCTTCACAACCCAAGTACTTACTAGGCGATATCGAAATTCTGTAGAAAGTCTGTTTTTGGATTATTTAGGGCTTCAAATACCCGTTAAGATTGCCGTAACCGGCACCGACAGCTTAACGTGCTCTCGGCGGCACGGAGGGGTCTCAATGTATTAAGAATGGTCACCCATCCATAGACTGACCTGAATAGGATTGCCTAACTTTGCAGTGTGTTAACCTACTCGGTTAACACCTAGCCACGAGCCCCTCTATTCATGATCGTAATATGAATCTTCATAACTTTTAAACAAAAAAAAACTATCCTTTTAAAGTGCTGTCACTTTTTTTTTATGTTAGATGGAGCAGACGAGCAGACAGGTCACCTGATGGAAAGTGACTATCGCCGCCCATGAACGTCTGTAACTCAGGAGTCACAAACGCGTTGCCGGCGTTTTAGGAAAGAGTGCGCTCTTCTCTTGAAGGTTTCAATCATTTGCGATTGATAAAATCAACGAGTAACAATATAATAATATATATGACCTTAACCTAACTTCTGTTGCGTGAAATTTATGTAAATGGAATCAAAGTTGAGAAATCCAGCCTTATCAGCTTTCTCTTGTTTTCGACAAATGCTAATTGTGTCAAAATAATGCGGGTCTTATGCTTGCCTTGTACAGTTTAAAGGAATTACGGGCCAGTTTTTTTTTTTAAATTTTAGTTTACTATTCGAGGCAAAGCGAGCACTAAAATCCTTCCTAATATTATAGATGCGAAAGTAACTGTCTGTCTGTTACGATTTCACAACTCAACTACTAAAGCGATTTTAATGAAATTTGGCATGTAGATACTTTGATTCTTAAGGAAGGAATTCTACAAGAACTTTTTACCGCGTTTACCGACATACGTGGTGGTGTCACTGGCAAAAAATAAGTCAATTAAATATATAAGTAAAAAAAACGTACAGTCCAAGTGAATACCTCCACTCTTCATTATTTGTAAAAATGGTTAAACCTTAGAAACAGCTAATAGATGTAATTTTCAATCTACCAAATTAACTCAACACCTAAAATTAAACTTAAATCACATTTAAAGTAATCTTTTATTTTTTTATGGTTTAAAGGGAAAAAAGGAGAACAGACAGTGGCAGTGAAGACACTAAAAGAAAACGCATCGGAGAAGGAAAAAATAGACTTGCTGCAAGAACTCTTGGTCATGAAGAACTTGGGCTATCATCCAAACGTAGTTCAGTTAATTGGCTGCTGTACTGAAAAGGTTTGACAACAATTTTAATATCCTCTTTGAAATCGGAAATGAATAAATATATTAAAAAATCGTTGTGTTCAAACTCCTTCAAAACACTTTCCAATTTCCACTATTCACTTATTTTTAAATTTTACCTTGCAAGTCACTCAAGCTATATTATTTAAAATCTACCCTAATATCTCCAAGATTAGGCTTGAAAAGTACAATGAAATTCAACAAAAGCAAATATATAAAACAATATTGCATACAAGGAATAAGGTAAATCGCTCCTTTAATATTTGAACACTCTTCACAGGAACCTACCCTTGTAATAATGGAGTTCGTGAGCCTGGGCAAGCTGCAGCAATTCCTCCGAGATTCAAGAGCAGAACGACATTATGGTAACACTCATGGCAGTCAGTTCCTCACGTCACAAGATCTTACAAAGTTTGCATTCCAAGTTGCCAGAGGGATGGAGTTCCTTAGTTCACAAGGAGTAAGTATAAAAGTTACATTTATAAATTACTGTACGTCAGTATTAAAACTGAAAGTGTTCAGAAATTTAATCCAAACCCAAGAACATTCATACAAATATTATTCAAAACTTCAGCAAGATCTATATTATTAATTCGATTTAACATCAAAGTTCAGACAGAACTTCTTAGACGAATGAATATTTTGTGAGTTAAAAGCAGTCTTACTCGAGTATTACTCGAAAGATAAAGTCGACATTCAACATACAAAACTGAATTGTTCAATGTCTTATTTTCACGCTTGAATATAGTTATACATAGTTAAATAGAACTCAATTAATTGATGCTTTTATTTTACTTTTCTAATTTGCTGTAATAGTATCGGTTTTTTTTCTTTTGATTTTATCTCATAACGTCATTCTACAAGTATTCCACAAAATTTTATGACAATTCTTTTACTGTTGAAGCTATTCCCTTGTGGAATACATTGCTGATAAATATCAGGCGAGCGCAATCAATAAACAGTTTTAAGAAATGGGTCAAGAATTTTGTGTATCTTAATTAAATCAGTTACGCATTAAGGTATGATGTGAATGTTTTTTTCTTATTTGTGATATATAAATTAAGTAGGTATCAGGTTCAATCTTTAATGTATGTATGTATTTGTATGTATATTTATCTGATTGTACCTCTTCATTCATTACCATTGTATTGTATTCATTACCATTTAACCTGTCAAAACTCATTGCACCTTAAACTACTTTTTCCGAGACATTTCGATCCATTATCCCTTTGTACATTATATGTCTTCCAATTTTATGATGATGATTTTACATGACTACACAATGAAATAGGCTACAAATTAATGACTATAATGTAGAAATTTAAAGGCCATTTATACTCTACAATACAATACAATACTCATACGAAAAGCTTTATCTACGAGTATATCGAACAATCATTTTTAGAGATATTTATTTGTTGACCATTTTTGGATTTTATTTTAAATACAAATTTAATAAATTTAACTACATATGTACAGTAGCAATAGGCATATGTATTTTATAAAGTACGAACAGTTCACGCATTAATATTTTATCTCGCTTTGTGATGTGACGATTTCTCTGTTAGTACGAGTAAATAGGTTTATATGAACATTTCTTCTTCCTTAACTATTTTAGAAATAATTTTAACGCGTGACAATTTCTTAAAGAGCCAAACATTTGTATGCAATTATTCGTGCGCTATCGAATTTATTTAAAATTTCTTAGTCTTATTCATGCTATGAAAGAGATTTTTCTATGAAAAGTTATAAACTATATGTTGTTTTCAGATAATCCACAGAGACTTGGCAGCGCGTAATGTGCTAATTACTGAGGATAGGGTGTGTAAGGTAGCAGACTTTGGTTTTGCGAGAGATATTGCAGACACGCATGTATATGAGAGAAAAAGTGATGGTCGCCTTCCTATAAGGTAAGCTGTCGTTTGATTTAATTTAAGTAAGTTTAAGTTAAGTATGTATATTTTTAGTACTTAAATTAAGCTGTTATTATTATTTATTGTTAATATTACTTTTACACAATATAGTTTCATGATTATCGAGCAATTATGCTGATAAACATACTTATATATTTTTAAATACATACATATTATAGATAAACTACACCCAGATACAGAACAAATGACTGTGCTTATCACACAATATTTGTCCTGGACGGAAATGGAACTCACGACCTCCAGCTTAGCAGTCAAGGTCACTAACCACTAGATCAACAGGCCCGATATCGAAAAAACTTAGCTTAAGTAAGAACAACTCGATCCAGGTAATTCTTCTCAGGAAATTATTTTAAAGTAAGAAAAATATCCTTAATTACAGATGGATGGCACCAGAGTCTCTGTACGACAATATATTTAGCGTTAAGTCTGATATTTGGAGCTTCGGGATCCTATTGTGGGAGATCGTCACTCTTGGCTCTACACCATACCCCGGACTCTCTGCTAACGAAGTCATGAAAAAGGTCGGTTGTAAAAACTTAAATATTTTTGGTTACTTCGTTAAATAATGACTGTCGTAATCGTTAATTAATAATATTAATTTCTACAGCTTCCTAAGCCAACTTTGTTTTGATTGATTTTAATGAATATAAAACATATTTTGTTAATAGAAATTATGTAGTATGACTTTCGACAAGCATTCTATATTACTTTGATAAATAAGAATCATTATTTAGATTAAATCTTTTGAATACTTCTGATGTTTTTAGTTTTTGCTTTGTTATTCGAGTTAACATTGATAACTTACCTCGTTTATTATGAATTTTCTAAAATAACTAGACAGTTATCGGTTCACTTATTATTATTGTATAATCTAAAAAGCTATTTGTTCTAGATATACATTTTTTATGACCCTAGAAGTATTACAGCCCCAGAATGTATATCGGCTTTTACTAGTAGTAGTCCGAAGGTTGCAATTATTGTTATTTTGTGAAGTGTTAATAACACTAGAACTCTGTCGAAACAGCCTAGAGAAAAGAAACGTGTACTGTTTTGGCTTCACCAACTTATTTATAGAAGGTCTTAAGCACATAGGGTGATTAGAGGTGTAATAATAATAAGGAATAAGTAAGAGTGTGACACGATACAGAGGCTACTGCTGGAGAAGTCAAAAGAATTTAAAGTGATACATGGTCATTAATACCTTTAGTTAGTACGAACTAAGTTATTTTTACATACATACATACACCAACCAGGCGAGGTTACAATGAATGCCGTGCCGTGGCCCGACGGTTGATGTTGAGTCATCCATATTTCCTTACTTATATTATAAATGTGAAAGTAATTTGTTTGACATACACACGGGTGGATCCGAATGCAAAATCTAGTATTGTATAAACATTAAACCACAACGGGTAATACGATGTACCTAATAACTTAGAGAATTACATCAATCATTACAGTTCTCTTTCAGACTCCTGTTTTAATAATTATACCTAAGTTATTTTTATATTTGTTTTTATTACCGTACAATATAATAAATTACGTTTGATGATTAGTCTATTCAAAGAACAATTTATTTCACGTCAAAACGTTATTACAGCTACGAGTAAGAGGTATATTTTATTAGTTAGTAATTCTCAAGTAACAACTTTCTTTTAAGCTTCGACGTTCCTTTGCTCCTCCAAAAAAGTCTTGCAAATGTTTAGACATCATAATCATGTGGTACCATTACTATTACAATAGATTAAAAACGTTTTACTTAACTTCGTTTTTTCATCAACAACCTTTACTAGTCCACTGCTGGACAAAGGCCTCTCCTTAGAAAGGAGGTTTTAACCTACTACACCACGCTGGCCAGACGGGTTGGTATAGGGTTTGTTCCAAGTTTTCCTTCTCTCAGCAGTGCTGTTGACCTGCGTAGTTTGCTCCTTTAGTCGCCTCTTACGGCTCCCACGGGACGAATAGGGGTGTTGACACTCTATATTCTTAATCCATCACCACACGGACGCTTCGCTTTTTAGTAGTTTTAAATAAAATACGTTTAATCACAACTTGAATTTATTAACCGCGCGCAATCTTCTATTGTTCGTTAAAACCATCATATTGGGCCAGTAATTATTACTCCTAAGGAATAGTCGAAAATTGGTAAATAATAAAAGAACTAGAGATAGTGATCCTCATCTGGCTATGACTTATGACTACTTATGACAAAACAAACCTCATCAGCCATGACAATAGCCACTCAACGGATTTATAATTTTCCTTTACAAATAAAAAAAATATTACTATTATTAAAAGTAATATTTCAGTGCTTAAAATACTTGTGTTGATATAATAAAAATAAATCCTTTTTTTTATCAGGTCATCGAGGGTTATCGCCTGGAAAAACCTGAGCACTGTCATCGGGAGCTTTACAATATAATGTATTACTGCTGGGAAGCAGAACCAAATGCAAGACCAGATTTCACAGACATCGTGCTGCGATTCGAACCTCTCATTAACAAGGATATGGACTACATTGAACTAGAAAGATTTCCTGACCATTCGTATTATAATCTGCAACATTTGGATGGAGAAAAGCTTTGATAGTGTTTTTTTATGTATAAAAGTATGGCAATCCCATTTTAAATGATTAGTAAAATATCTATGCGCTTTTCAAATAGAGAATTAAATTTGTCAAAGCAAAACCATCTTTAATGAGCTCTGATATTATATTAAGCTTATGACTTATGCATTCATGCATTCGTTCGACTTAGAATATGTCATATTCTATAGTTCTGAGAAACAACCTTTACCTTTTAAATACAGAATAAAACATTCTAATAACTAAATTATTTTTGAACTTAAATTTAGCCAGTTTACATTCCTTCTCCTTCTTTTTATTTTTTAAAGACAGTTCTCAAGAGGACTCTGCAGAAAATGCTTTATCTTGACAAGAAAACGTGAAATGTTATTAACAACTTCGGTAACTTAATTTTGTTTCAATCTCTTCCCTTTCTCTTCTACGTTAATGTAAATTGAACTTAAGTAAATATATTTTTACTATTTAATGGGCAATTTTGTACATAAATATTATAGCAATCAAATGAGGTAGACATAGTAAAAGTATTCAGATTTCACACAGTTCATAAGATACTTTTTTCCTTGATAACATTTTAAAATCAGTATAATATACATATATTTGATTATAATCCAATAAACAAAATGTATTTAATATAATCTATTATATACTATAAAAGAAACAACTGACATTTAAACACTTTTATAGTTTGCAATAATAATTGTTAAGTTATTTTTATGTTTACATAGACTAGTCTTTGGATTAAACATCAGTAAGTTAATATAAATGTATATTACGTAGTCGTTGCTGTATTCAACGAGATAATATGTACAGTTATTTTAAGCTAATTACTTTGTTCTTTTGTAAGTCTTCAAAAAGATACAATAAATGTCTGATGTTTTGTTGTATAATTTTTTTTTATTTATGAAATCAGATTTCTGCAGTACAGTGAGATTCACAAGTAGAAAGTTACTATAAAGGAAATATTTTGAGTTATTTCTTGTTCTTATAGGTGCAGATGATTCTTTTTGAATAATAACTATTCATTGCAATTTCTATTATAAGGGTTATAAAACCACCAATATAACCTATTGCCAACGCTAGAAAACCCCCCTGTAAATGTTTAACTGATAAAGGATTTATACCATGACTCTTTTGCATCAAGAGTCTCAACAGACGAGCTCTTTTTCTCTCATTAAATGTCTCATATTGACTTCTCAAAGCTACATTCAATCCGCTCTGCTTAAATAATGTAATTGTATTTGAAAATTCATGCATAAAAGGAAATCCTTTCAAAGCTATCATTTCTATATGAACAGAAAACATATTACTCTGAAATGCGTAGTACTTATAGTTTCCATGATGATCACTTAGTTCAGGTAAAATTGCAGATAAATGTGCTAGTTCAAGACGACTGCAAAATACCGAAAAATTTCTATGAACAGCGACATCTATTATCGCCGCAGTTATATTCTGAACTGCAGTCCATTTTTCTCCAATACAATAATCCAAAGAATCCGAAGAATTGAGAAACAAATCATGAAGTTCTTTAAAACCACCAAATTTTAATCCACTGTTAACCAATTCTTCCAAGTTTTGTATTTGATACTCATAAGAGGGATTCGTTAAGGTGTCAAATAATTTCGTTTGATAGGCTGTTAAAAAAAGCACACTATACAAATTGAGAAAAACGAAAAATATACGTAAACTTTGTTTCACCGGACGTTTGTATGCCACAAAACCAAATATACATATCCAGGTATTAATAAAACAGTGAGAAAATAATTTGTTATAAGGTGAATCTTCACAGAATTGACCTATGATTTTCCACGAGACCGCACATACAAAGAATCCAGTAATTGCAGAATACCAAACAAATGCCTGAAATATAATTAATAAAGACACGAAAGGAGGCAATTTAGGAGCTCTTGGAACAACCCACGTATACACGTCTGCTAAATACGTTAAACTATAATCAAAATCTTCGTGGACGTCGTAATCTGGAAATATGCCTCCTGCAAGAAGATGTCCCTTCTTAGAAGCTAGCTTCTGTAAACCACCGTTCCATTCACCATCATTTTCTCTTTCTCCTCTAAACCCATCAATCAACTCATAAATTGCTGTCATATTATACCTTTTTAAAATTCTATTTATAAGCACTTTTTCTATATTGGCATCGTTTTCATTCTCACTTATATACGGTTGCCTTTGTAAAGCAAAAACTTTTACAACACAACCATGCATGTTCTGAGGAATGTTATTTTGAAAAACTTTTTTATTTTGTTTTAAAACACCACGTTCACAAATATTTTCAACTATGAGTCTATTTTTAGCAGTTTCGTTGAAATATCCACAATACGTTGGCGGATCATATGCTTTCCAAGTATAAATAATTTGTTTCCGATAGTTATCTTTATGAGTTAGAGCAATCACAACATTTATTGCATTATACCTAAATAGGCAGCTTAAAATCTTTTCAACTTGATCAATATTTATTTTGTCAGAGTTGACAAAATTAAATAATAATATTATGAACTTTGCCAGTGGGTTCCAACTCCGTGACCGAATAATTTTACTGGCTAAGTACGAAAAATCATTATAACTGTCTATAATTATAATAAAATAGTCTGCTAAAGGTTCTGCTGTAAAATGCTCTACATGCAAGACTCCAAGTTTTTCTATATCTTGGTCGCAAACTTCTATTTCTTTAGAAGGAGTCATGACTTCGATGACAAACTTTATTTCCGTATTAATACTCTTCAATAATTCATTTCTAATATTTAATACAGCACTACTAAAATTATTTGTATTTGCAAATATTACTAAACCAGGTGTTTCAAACTCATTTTGAATAATGTGTTTTATACACTTAGTGCAGTCACTGATTACTGTTGGGCCGTATGGATTAATTATCGCGTTTATACAGAATATTAAAGCGAATATAACGATAATTACTCTATGCGGTGACATTCGTGTACCTTAATAGGTAGTAAAGGCAAATAAATACTGGGGAAATAATTTTGCATGACTTGTCATTCCATATCTACATAAATCTTTAATTTGTTGTTTAAAACAGTTGTATGATTTATATTTCTACGGTTGTATGTTTTTGATGGATACTGTTATTCTTAGAGAACCACTTTTGTTAGTGTTTTTTTTCCTTGAGAAAAATAAAAGGATTGTCATGGCAAGCAGTGCATCTCAACTATGTAAACACTGATTTTAAAAATGATTTCAATGTGTAACGGTAGTATTTTAAAAGTATTCATTTTTAAAATCAGACAATTAAATTGCAGTATTGCATACCATTAAGTTGCATTTAATGTAGGTATATAAGAAGTTCTGTTTTTTTTTTTAAATACTCACCATGCATTAAGCTGTTCATTTATTTCTTTTTTAATAATTGTCATATGAATACTGTTTTGGAATTCTTAAATGATACCTATGTTTTAGATATTCTCTCACAACTAATACCGAATAAAACGCATACAATCTACTAAAAAAAAAGAGAAGTGGTTGTGTTTTACAAAAGAATAACATGCTTATTATTTATTATCGGTTAGGTAAATGATTATACGCTTTTAAAGTTTAAGCCATGTTTCTACATAAAACTATATTAAATAAACAAATTGTTGACTCAAAAATTTACGTACCAATACAAACATTATACCTTTAAGAAAAGTCTCCAACTTCAAAAAACGTCAGTGAGTATAGACGTACTGTCGCATATCTTCATAGGCGACGGTACTCACTTAATATCAGGTAACTTGTCTGTTTGTTTGACCAAATTTCATAATGTACTCGTATGTTGACATAAATAATTATAATTTAAAAGAAACTTATCATTTAGTACTGAAAAAGTTTTAAATTGATTGTATTAAAAAAAGACGGTAAAATATAAAAGAAAAATGGTAACTGCCTGGATGGCGTAGTAGCTTAGGCGGTTACCTCGCCGCTTGCTACTACGCTGAGTGTTGTGGGTCCGATCCCCACATGGTATGACACTTTGTGTGATCCACAAATTGTTTTTCTGAGTGTGTGTGTGTTCTTTATGTCCCTTTCATGTACGCAGGAGATGTCTTTAAAAAAAATAGGTATAGCTGAAATCATATTACTTTTTAATGGTGTTATCACACATAGTTAATATTGAAAATTGTGGTAGTTAAATTTAATTATCTAGAATAATTACATAGGTATACGAGTTGCATGATACATGTTTCGTGTAATTAAAAATTGTTTACCATTAATATGATTTATGACAGATAATTCTAGGCATTACTCAGTGTATAAAGTATATATTTTTGCTGCAGACAATTAAAAGATTGTTATTTTTGTTTTAATGTATTTATTCGCTAGTCTGAAAGTTTGTGTACAGTATAAGGACATTATTACTTTGAGAATTGATAACGGACTTCAAAAAAAGGCAAAGATTCTCAAATCGTTTTCATTTATTTATATTTGTTACCTCTGAACTCCATCATTTATGAATTGATTGGGAAAATACCTTATTTTTGTTTGGGAGGGTATACTTTACGTTTTGTCCCATTAAAATTTTTAGAAATATAAATCCCACCATTTTCATGTAAAAAGTTGCCAAGACGAGACTACATGGCCCGCACTGTCAAAAAGTTATCAGATCTCAGGTAGAGCCAAACTTTTAACTCTACACACCCTAATTTATTTGCCTACCGTCACATAGGCGTAAGGTAAAAACTTTATTTACTGTTCATTACTTTACTGTTATAAAATACTTTTTGTAGTAACGAAATGGCCAAGCCACAAATTTTGACTAAGATGTAGAGATTGTGAAGTTAGGGCTTATAGAATTAGAATTTTGGCTCTACATGAGATCTGATGACTTTTTGACAGTGCGTGCCATATAGTTTCGTCTCTGCAACGTTTTACATCAAAATGTTTTTGGTGGGATTTCACCTCTTTTTGTAAGTTGCTTATGACCACGGGGGTCACACTGAAAGTTTATGGAAAAGAAAAACGGAATTATTTAGAATATTTTTATTGTTTTTTC